TCATCAATATTAGTGGGGGGAAACCAAGGAAGATGTAGACAGTCACTCAGATGTTAGTCACTAACTTGGCAGTTGTACATTTTAATAAGATGGAATATATGTCACGCACAACTATCTGGGGTAGCGCTAGCACTCGCCAATTTAGCCAAATGCTAAAATTGACTTAAATTGGCTAAACAAAAAGGGCTAGATTTGATGAATTTTAGTCAAATTAAAACCATTTTCATAACAAATTGACAAAAAAGTGATAATTTGGCTAAGTGAAAAAAAATTGCTAACGCTATCCCACACTATGACCCCTTCAAATCAGCTTTTTTAATAGAGCACGTTGACAAACACCTAATGTGGATTTCACGTGTAAGTAAAATTTATTTTGTTACTATATTTCTGTTGACTTTTAAAAGTGGACACATCTGTCTCTTTGAGTACATTCAGAACAAGTTGATCCATGGACTAACTGATCTGCTGATCAAATATGGCTGACCCAAGCTTGCCCTGTAATCCCCTAATACATAGACAATGAATAGATTCCCCGCGGGATTACGAGGTAAGCTTTTAAGTGGGTCTGCCATGTTTGATCCACGGATCTGTTAGTCCTCGCACCAACTTTGGTTGTGAATGCGGCCTTTATGACCTATGTACTAGCCATTAACCACATTCTGTGAAGATCCCCATATTTATGAAGATCACATTTCACTTTATTTTCCCAAGAGTTTCTCACCTGTTGGTTCAAGCAGAGGTATTTATTTATTACATAATCCCAGAAATTAATTCCCTCCTGACTGATTGGTTAACTGTCCTTAATTACTGCACTAAAGGTAATCAAGGGCGGAGAAGCTACACAGTGGAGATATACAGGTGCCCAGTTAACTGCTTTAATTAGAGTGTTGGCACACTATTTTGATAAGGTACAGGTACAATACTAGTGTATGAGCAAAGGGCAAACTGAAGGTTCAGCTTTGCAATGTGTCCTTATGATCTATATGATATCTCTGCTCTGTTTTTTCATTGGTAAATTACCTTGCTAGTTAATTTAAGATTACAGGTACCACTCAGTGGCTCACAGAAACAAATGTAGAGAGAAGATGCCATCATCACTAGCTACATCACTAAAAAAAGCATAACATATATTCCATGTGGGTTGAGGGTAAAAACATACAGCTACAGGAGGTGCTTTTTTCAGGTTATCTGACTGCATTCAGCAAGAGTCCCTGCAGAGTTAGATCGATCTATGTTGGATGACAGTTTAATTGGGACTCAGCCCTTATGAAAGCTCTGTTATCATAATCAGTGGGAAGGAGTGAGTCAAGTGCCTCTTTCCCCTAGCTTTATAGGTGTATGTACCCGATCCCTTAACCCTCCCTAAAACAATACTACAACAAGCAATAAAAACATAACAAAAACAAGCAATTTCCTTGCCCATCCAATATCTATCCCTGTATCCAACATATGTGGGTAACCATTAAACTAAAATCATCTATGATTTTTCCTTGCTCCAATCTGTAGTAAAATCATTGACAGTGCCAGGATTTTTAATGGTAATATTTCAGCACCTCCCTTCATGACTGATCACTCCCAGGTGGGACAGGTGAAACTTTTTCTGCAAATTTAACAATTATATAACCAATAACCATAACATTTCTGCCAAACTGTCCTCAAGGCACTTTTTCACTAACTGCACTTAATGAGTATGAAACAAAAAATATAAGCCTGTGCAGGGTTTTTTTGTCACTTGTTTAATTTTTTCACAGCAACTGGAGTTTATCTGCTTTCAATGAACCACACTGGAAATCAAGCTCTAAACAATAAAATGTTTATTTCACGTCTTACTTTATTTAATGCAAAATTGTTACTTGTAACTTTGATCAATTACCCCTGCATGTTACTGGAGACAGGAATACATGCCTGCCCCCCCCCCCCCCCCAACGACCACCAAAAAATGAAAGGAAAAAAGAAGCAAGAGAGAAAAAGATTGTGTGCTTGTAAGAGATTAACATTTCTTAATTTCTTCCATGTTCTATGGCATAAACTGGTTATTTAATTCTTCAATAAACACCAAATTCATTCCCATGCCTTCAAAACTACCTACCAGTCCTAAAGATGTAGCCGCTTCCTAAATATTTGACTTCCTGTAGCCTGAAGGTGTTTACCGTTTCACCATTCACAGGGTACACGTAATTCTTTAAAGGAACTTGGCATTTGGTGGCAAACTTTTGGAGCATTCTACAATACTAACAGCCAAAATACAAGAATGGTATAGTGAACCTACTTTTTCAAGTACCCCCAGAACTTGAAAAAGAATGCAATAGATTAATGAATTCCTTGCAATGATAAAAAACACTAAAATGCTTTCAACTTTTTGGCAAAGAAAGTTCATTCAGAAAGTAAAATTTCCATTAAAGACTATAGAAAAAAAAGAAGGCAAATAAACTGTTTTTATTTATTGTTCTGCAGTTCTTTGTTTGGTACAGTATATGAGTTTGGATATTCTTCATGCTCAACCTGAAGATAAAGGGCAATTCATGACTTTCCAAATGTTAGTTTATATAACAACCCACCTAATTTGCCCAATTTTTCATTTTAAGTTGTATAATGAAAATAATTAGTTTATGTAACTGCCACATTTCATTTCCTATTTTCATTCAAAACTGCATAATAACTACATAAAACAGGGTGTGTTGGAAGGAAGTTTAGTCTAAAACAAAAAAATGTGATCAATTATTGGTGTAAAATACTTATTTGGTGTAAATTGGAAAACATAATTTCTTTTTTGATCCACAATGTGTGTACAATGTACTAGCACCATTTAAACTTGATAGTAATTATGGAAAAAGACTGTCATGCAACTTGAACAAGGCAGGATAAAGTCTAAAACAAGGGAGGAACAAGTCACCCCTGAACTTAACAATACAGTTCAAGCAATCATTTGTCATTTCTTTGACATTGTTTCTGAAATAGTTTTACCCACTTAGCCAGCAAATTTGATCCATTCATGAAATGAGATGCTGAGTGAAAAATGATTCCTGGAAAATGGACAGTAAGTTTCACATTCTACATGCACAATTGAAGCAAGTAATGGTACTTGGTCACGCTAAAGTAAGCCATATACCATAACAGAAGCCACATTTCTGCCGACAGACCTGTATAAAAAAAGGCAAAAAAAATATTGGGGCAAAACTTCTGCTTCTTCTTACTACAAATCTGCCACTGGAAGTAATTCTCTTCTTCACAGTTCCGCAATATTCATTCAGGTGGACTGGTGCTGATCTGGTGACTATCTGATCACTTGTACTGTGATGTCACTGACATTGATTCAGAGTCAGTTTTATGAAAGCTTTTTTAGCCACATTCACATGGGAATTACGCAACAGACATTCAAGGTTAGTCATATTTGATCTGAGGATCTATTAGTCTGCTATTGTGACTGCAGCCATACTGTTACGGTCTCACTGAATAGCAAGCCTTGGATGGTCACACACTTCTTGGGATTATTTACATGAAAATGGTCAGGCGAAACAACTTTTTCAATGTCTTACTTTCCAAATGCTCAGTCAGTTTTTTTTTTTTTTTTTTTTCTTCTTTTTTTTTTTTTTTTTTTGGTGGTTGCATTGTGCTTTTTTTCTTTAACAAATTTAGTGGTTGCATTGAAAGCCATTTTACCCTTTCTGATGTAATTTTAAGTGTTTCCATGTGAGTTTCAGGACATTTTGTCAAATATCTTTGTTATAGGCTAGCAGTGACAGATGTTAACATGAATTGGACTTGATGTCATTAAAAACTAATTTTAGGAGAAAAAACCTGCCACAACATGCTGTTTTTTAACCATGCTGTTGCAAAAGTTAAATTAATTTTTCCAAAAAATAACTAATTTTCTAAAATGAATGGCAGTTCTCTTATCAGTCCAAAAAATTGGCAGGGTATCACCAGACCTTTTTCTTCAGAATGATATGCTAATTTCAATTTGTAAATAAGGCCTGATGCAATGTGTCTGAGGCGAGAAAAAATCTAAAGATAAAAAATAAATATCAAATTATTGAACAAAGATATCAAATATTGAGTAAACACGTATCCAACATCCACATAGGTATCTGATATCTTTTCTGACAACTGCACAATGCCTCTGATGTCAAAATCAGATATTAATTGAAATTCTTGAAATCATCAAGTCCTAGACATTGATTAAACTATCTTGCCATGTGCTGTATATTCTGCTAAAAGAAACGCCAGAATTCCATCCACAGGAAACTTTTAACAAAAACTTTTTTTTTTAAATTCTTTCTTTCAGCTGCTCAAGTGCCTTGATTTTATCAGCATTAAATCGCCCACCGATTTTATCAGCATTAAACTGCCCGTCTTCAAACTTTTAGTGTCTCAGGTGAACAATTAAATATGTTTACCTGCTAACATAATAAAAGCAAAGTATTGGTAATTGGTTCACTGGTGCGTGGCGATCTGTGGCACAGCTTCACCTGTGTTTTGCAGGACCTTTGTGTAACGCGTTTTGCATAGTGAAGCGGTAACGTTATGAATACTCTGTGTCATTGCCATTTTTCTCTCGTTAATTACACTGCATAATTAGAATGATTTGGGAGGTTGTTGTTATAAGGTCTACTGGCAAAATTGTGATACGCAAATTACACGTTTAGATAAAGCATGTAAAGGTGAGGTATTACCCTAACACTTTATGAAGGTTTGCTTCCCGTTATTTTTGGTGGAGTATTTCCATATACAATACTTAGTATTCCACCGGGTGTTACGCTACCGTCATCACTTAAAAGGTATAACTACATACTGACGTTGCGATGAAGGCAATATACAGTACATAAAAGTGCTGTATCACACAGGTGATGGACTTAATTGTATGATGCGTAGAGCAATACCACAATACCCGTTTGGTAATAAGCACGCATATATGTAGTGAGGGACATAAAACACCACGCTAAAATGTGCCCACTCCTCGCTCGAAAAGAAGTTTTAAAATGACACGGTTAATTACTCACCTCAAACGCCGCTTGGTAAAACTTCCCATTAGCAATGACTTCCTGCACGAGCTTAGTGAAAATCCAGTGTAACTTCAACAAACCAACTTTCTCGTTCCCGTTAATCGTTAAAACTTCTCGTGAAAAAAATACTAATGTCTGCCTTGTTGATATCAGTTTACGAATCAGGACTAAATTAAGATGTTCCTTTGATCAGTAATGGCATTTTACATTTCAACAACAAGCACACTGGTCTCGACCATTGGGAACAGATGTTGAGTGGCGTTCCACATCTGTGTTTACGAGCCCTCGTGGATCCTAGTTTTATAAATTACCAACAATAGAAACCCCGCCCTTTTCTGAGTACGGACCAATAGGACGCGACGATCAGTTTTCACCTGAGTGGTTACTGACCAATCCAATTCGTCATTAGCAGCTAATAACTGCAGTTGTAGGGTTCACTATGGATTTAGATCATGTGCTTTCGTTTTAAAATTTATTGTGATAAAATGTTTCAGTTTTGAAACACCTGCTCGTGTCAGGTGGAAGCCATTTTTCACGTGGCTACCAATGGCAAAAAGTGCATTTTCACATCAGAAACAATTTCAATTTGCAGTTAGATATTCTATTCATTTTACTGAAGCAAAATCCCAAAGATTCCTTTACGACGCCAACTCACTCACAAGAAATGTTTTTGTTTGCAGAAATCATTTTTAAAATTCTAAGCATGCCCCCACACAAATTCACCATCTCTCCTTTATTTCATAAACATGTATTTTTGAAATATAAGTCATCACATGGGTATCAAGCGACCCAAACTTAGAACCAAAGAAATTGCTAGATCTTTATTCTGTTTATTTGCGCACTTTTCGAAGAAATAGAGAGTAACATAAAACATTTGTGTCAGTTTCTCAGAATCCTGTACTAATTTAACCGTGTCTTTGCACTACTTTTNCAAATATAAGTCATCACTTGGGTATCAAGCGACCCAAACTTAGAACCAAAGAAATTGCTAGATCTTTATTCTGTTTTTATTTGCGTACTTTTCGAAGAAATCGAGAGTAACATAAAACATTTGTGTCAGTTTCTCAGAATCCTGTACTAATTTAACCGTGTCTTTGCACTACTTTTGACAAAATCGCTATAATTTGCCCGCTTGCTCAGCTCTATCTTCGTCGCTCTTGTATATATATATATCTGCCTCATATTTGGCTACCATATTTCGCACTTTAAAGTCTTCGCCGCACTCAGCATAATCTCCTTAACAGACTGCATGGAAAGTTTCCATATCACATACATGTATCAGTACCAAAATCTTTAATCTTTAATGATACCTGCTTCCCTATTGAAGATAAATAGCAGATAAAAAGTTTTCAGTCGGAGACTACTTTCATCGTTGGGGGCGGGCTACCTGGACACAAGACAGGCTAAAGAATCGCTACAGAAAAATTGGTATTTTCTAGATAACTACGCTAAGGTATTTTTCTAAAAGTGGAAGTTAACATTTCACATTAGAATGTTGTTTTTATTTTATTTTTTTTTTCAAAATCTTTTATTTATTTATTTTATCTATTTCTATCATTATATTTTGTAAAATAGTGTATTCTTTTGCTATTAAAAATAACAGCCATCCCTTTCCGATTACAATGGAGTCTGAACAGGTGTTTTACAACTGCTGAAAGGAGTCTAGAATGATCGACGTTCCGGGATCGTATTTTAGTGCACTTTCTCCTGTTAAATTTCTTTATATTTTCCCTTGCATTCTTTTTTTTTTTCATCATCGCTTTCAATATATTTGTTCGTTATCTTGAGAGAAACCTTTTGTGTTATTTTATCAGTATAAAAAGAAATGAGCAATTAAGCTATAAAAATAAGCCTTTTCACGTTTATTGTTTTATTCCATTGTTTGTCTATCAAGTTCGTCATTAAATCCACAAGATTTTCAGTTGTTGAATGTGGCTTACATGTTCTGTACAAGTGACGCCATCAGATCATGACTACCCGGAATAACTCGGCCACAGCGAAGAGTTTTTTATTCATTTTTCCTTTTTTGCTCGACAACCCTCCCAAAGCAGCTGCAAACTTCGGATGAGTCAATTGTACTAATCAAAGGGTAAACCGCAGCATTGCAACGAATGCTGCAAAACACGTTAAAAGTAAATCTGATGACATGATCGAAGACATTGACTTATTGCACATTCACAAAACCGTGTCTAGAATACTTGCTCCAACTGTTCGTCCACGTGCACTCCTCCATGTGAGTCGAGATTGAAATATTTTTCTCGTCTCAACTTTGTTGTGGAGCAAGGCAGATGGCGACAAGAAGACAGACGGATGCATAGTTTCTTTAATAAGCATATCTTCTGTGATAGTGTTCGAATGTGACCGCTGAGTGACATGTATATTATTTGCTATTAGCGATGACTACACATGGAAAATGTGTGTGTGTATGTGCGCGCGCGCGCGCGCGCGCGTGTGTGTGTGTGTTAGAGAGAGAGAGAGAGAGAGGGCGGGGGAGGGGCAGGGAGAATCTATCAAACACACAGACCCGATCATTTTCACTTTATTTCTCTCACTCACGGACAGTAATTTTGTCTTATCACAACATCTGTGACTTCTTAGGCATTTTGACTTCATCCTTGCTGAAGAGAAAAAAGGAAGAAAAATCTTATTTCGCACATTTCTCACGATTGCAAAGACTCGACTGAACTGAATTCCTTCAGAGCAACTCAGTGGTCGATATGGTGGCATTTGGATCGGAATCTCAATTCAAAGCAACTTATTGTACTGTGATGACAGAGTAAGGAGGCAGTCCTTAGAAAGCAGGTAAAGAAAATATTCCACAGCGGCGGCACAAACGTATCTTAGGTGGTGTGACGATTGAAATGGAAAAGATGCTGACATTCAGTTACGTGCAATTTGTGATACCTTGCACTTCGATTTTTTTTTTTTTTTTTGCAATGATATTGTAAAACATGTTTTTAATACACCATTTAATGCCACAAATAATATCTGCGTTGTTTCGATGTCTTTTGACTGACCATCTCGTTCCACCTCTCTCTCTCTCTCTCACACACACACACACACACACACACACACACACACACCCTGCGCGTTAATGTATTTTCACTATGTATACATTTGTACAAGACTCCAACAAGCAGTTAACACACCCTGCCCTTCGGATTCGCCCTTCCTCATGTTTAACTGGATCATTGGACGCGGTTCGTCCTGCAGTGAATATGTTCATCGTCGACAGAGAACGCGGGCGGTCAGACATCAACGCCTGAAGCGGTGCAACGCGACGTAACACTGTTTGAAATCAAGCTGGGCGACACGGCCGGGCAATTAGCGCCACGCTCGAAGGTAGAGGTTCTGTGAGCGTCTGTTAAGGTTTATAAAACATATGGTCTTGGCGAATCGCGGAGAAGAAGAAATTAGCCTCTTGAAAGAGAGATATGTAAACGCATTAGCTGGATATTTTGCAAACAGAAATAAAAATAGGACTTGTAGATTCGTTAGTGTAAGACTTGGCTGTAGTGAGGTTATTCCCTCTATTCTTACGCGAAAAATACTTTTATGCATACCTCAAAGTTAAGTCTCATTAAATCGACAGCACGTATTTGCGTCCGTGTCACTAGAAATACATACACCATCAAATTTTAATTGTGTATCTAATTAACAGAACAAACAACATTCACTCAATCTTTTTCTTATATTGCTAAAGCACGTCAATCAAAACGTTGACCTCATCGACAATAATACAAGAATGAGGGCAGTAGTCTTGATTCTAAGTAGTCTAGGAAGTCTTTAAGTACGTGCGAGTAGATCAATTCTCACTCCAGGTGAGCGACGATCCATATCTCCTTACCCTGAAAAAATATGATCACATAGAGGTAGGGTATGTATACGCCTTACCTGGGCTCTACCTGGCGTTGTTTTCATATTGACTATAAACAGATCTAGAAACACGGAATTGTTTGAATATCGCTGACACTCTAAACAAAGATCAAAGACACTCCATGATTGATCTGATAACCGCAGATGTGTTATGTAAATAAACGCAAGTTCTTCTTTAGTCGGATATGTTATCTGTTTGGAACCCGGTAAGCATCATTTCGAGAACGGAGACGAAAGAAGGCGTACATCATTATGAACAATTCAGCAGGAAAATATTATGTGAGATAAATGATGCTATTGAATCATTCTAAGGTATCCTTGGTTAAAAGTGGTGTTGCTGACAAGATTGCAAAGAAATGCGGATCACGAACTGAAATTGAGCATAGGCGGAAGGTCAAGACAATGAAATACATTGAAACAAAAAAAGGTTTCATTTATTTGAATAGCGAGACCTAAGGTACGAAAAAATAACCCAAAAGTGATAATAATAGATTCGATGAGAGGAGAAAAAAAATTAACGTAAAATAACAAATTGGGAGATAAAACAAGATATAAAAAAGAGGAGAGAACATAGATTTAAGAGACAATAGAAAACACCAATTAAAGGCGTGATGAAACAGGATTTGACAAAAACAAGAAAAAATGGGTAATGAGAAAAATCCGAATCGTTTTACACCAGATTGATTGGTCTCCAAATCGATGCAATAGCCTCCGTCGATGTCGGTAAATATCCCGGAGGAAGAATTCTGCTGCATCACTGCTATGTGTTAACGTGCCGTTTCGCAATGTTTCATTATTTTGCTAATTGCTTTTTCTGGTTAGGTATGTACACAGTCGCCAATGACGTTAAGTTGACGGGGTAAAAGGTGCTACAGGCCAATTTAATAGACAATCACAATATAAAGCTTATTTCCACCACCAAATTGCCTAAAGCTTTCGCCACTGCCGAACGGAGAGGTGGGGTCAGAGAGCACTATTTTAATGCGAAATTTACTGTCGTTGTTCAAACAAAGTCTACTTAATTGTTTTAACACGCCCCATTGGTTCTCCAGTGCTAACATTTTTTCACCCTGGGTTCCAGTTTTAAAAGTCAAAATTATCTTTTTGTGAAATTTTGCTTAACCGTTCAACTTTTTAGGTGTTCCAATTGAAGGTTTCAAAGGTATCTAGGAATGCAGGATTAACTCCGGGTAACTTTTTTTCCTTTAGAAACAAACCAGATTTGTGTTTGTGGCTACAGGTTTTCACATCCTAGTGTACCTTTGGGCAACCACGATAAATAAATACCTCATTACTGGCCTGCATAATAAAATGCTTAACGCATAAATATTTCTTGTAAATATTTAGCTTACGACACACTCATTAAGGTTAAGACGTTTTAATGGGGTTAGGAAATCTAAACTATTATTTGGGATGACCCTCCGGCAGGGTACCGAGATACGCAAGGGCGGGGAAGTCTTATATAAAAAGATGTTTATTAATCTGTCATCAGTGATCTTAAGGGCTTTTGGAATTAAAATGTCAATCTCGTTGAGTGTAATACAAAATGCATCTGTTCTTTTTATCCCCACGAAAAGGCCTGAGCAAAGCTGCATACATTTACATATTTTTGTCGTCATCGCTTTGCTTCAATTGTAAAAGATTTGGCTATACTAC